TGGTCATCAATTATATGGTTTGATAAGTACAGTTAATAATATTTTAATATATTTAAAATTTTCTAAGAAACCAGATTTTAAACATTTTATCACAAATTGTACAGCAAACAAGATAAAGTAAATATATAATCACTATAACATAGTGACTATAGTTACTCTAGTATGTAGGGTCACACCAGAACTTACTACCTCCATTTAATTTTAGCTTAGTATACGGTTATCAACCTTTCTCAAACTCTTGTTATTATTCTTATCAGCTTCTGTTGACCACTTTTCTATTTCTTTATGCATAATAAATTTCCTTGGATTCCACCTATGAGTAAGATCAAATGATACTTGTCATTTATCTCATTTGACATGTTGTTACAAATGATAATATCTTCTTTAATTACTGAATAGTATTTGTGTGTGTGTGTGTGTGTGTGTGTGTGTGTATTACATTTACTTCAACCATTCATGGTCATATAAGTTATTTTTTACTTTTTAAATTGTTTTTGTTTATTTAAAAGTTTTTTTTTCTTTTACATACCGATTACAGTTTCCCCTCACTTCCCTCTTCCTACTCCTCCCCCACCTAAGCCCACCCAACACAGCATAAATTCCTCAGTAAGGGTAAGGCCTCCCATGGGGAGTCAACAATGTTGTGCATATCTAGTTGAGGAAGGACCAAGCCCCTCCCCTCTGCACCAATACTAAGCAAGGCTGTATGCTTCCATAGGTAATATGCTCCAAAAAGTCAATTCATGCACTATTCTTAAATCCTGGTCCCATTGCCAGTGGCCCCACAGACTACCCAAGTCACACAACTGTCACCCACATTTAGAGGGCCTAGTTTGGTCTTATGCAGGTTCCCCAGCTGTCAGTCCAGAGTCAGTGAGCTCCCACTAGCTTGGGTCAGCTGTTTGTATGGGTTTCCCCATCATGGTCTTGACTCCTTTGCTCACATAATCTGTCCTTCCTGTCTTCACCTAGACCCCTGGAGCTCAGCCCCATGCTTAGCTGTGGATCTCTGTATCTGATTCCATCAGTTACTGGATATATGTTCTATGATGACAGTTAGGGCGGTATCAATCTAATTACAGGGGGGAGACCAGTTAAGGCACCCTCTCCACTATTGCTAGGATTCTTAGTTGGTGTCATAAATCTGGATTCCTTAGATTTCAAGAGTAGTGCTACAATTAATGGGGAGGAATGTATCTCTTTGTCATACTGGTTTCTTTTTCTTTGGATATACAGTGAGGAATAGAACTAATAGACCTTACAAAAGTTGTATTTTCTATTCTGTTTTTTTTAGGAACATCCATGTTCTTTTCTGTAATAGCTGTACTAATTTACATTCTCCTTCAAAGGTTGCATTTTTCCATATCCTCATGTCTTGTCATTTATCTCATTGTGGTAGTATCCTGTTTGGAGCAAAATGTTATCTCATTTTGGTTTTGACTTTCATTTATCTGATTATTAATAATATTGAATATTTTTTCAAAGATTTTGGTCATTTTCAAGTCTTTTAGGAAATGATTTTTGGAAATAAATGCTAATTTTTAATTGGTCTATTTATTTGTATGCTACTGAGATTTTTATTTCCATGACATTTCTTATCATCACCATCTGTTGGTTGACCAATTTTAAATATTTTTCCAGTTTTATAAGTTATTTCTTAACTGTGGTGATTACTGTGCAGGAGCTTCTTATTTGGTAGAATACCAATTTTTAAAACTTTATTTTCTAGTAAAACAAGCTATTTAAAATTAAAATAAAAAATGATAAAAGGAAAAAATGTTAATGCAAAAGATAAATTTCTACTCAAAAAATAATAGGTTCCATTAGCAATAGAATATAGTGTGGCCTTACACTGCTTTACTTAATCTAATGGCTCTCAAATGCACAACTATTTTGAGTCTTTATAGTTTTACAGTTTGATCTTTTATAAAGCACTTCCATTCTCTGCCTACTACCTGAAGAGATTTATATGCATCAAGTTTTTCATAGAAGTAAGAGCTGTATAGTAAATAAATTGTAATAGATGGACAAATAATTTTCAGAATATATTAGTGGTTTTAGTCTACAGTCTATCCGCTATATAACATGATTTCTAAATATTATAATGAAAGAGAATATAATGACACTGGATTAACTAATGTAACTGAGTATAGAATATATAAAGTTGATATTATTTTAAAAGTCAGTAAGTCTAGAAGTAGAATAGGAACAAATTATATACAGCTGTGGAAGTGACTTTTAGAAGAGCTAGATATTAAATTGGAAAATTGAAATTCTTCTGAGGAGATTCAGGTTTCACTTGGGGATAAAACTAAGATTATCAATAAGGTTTGCTTTTTTGGCATAAACATATTGAAATCTTTGCATTGGTAAATTTTTATTACTGTTGTAATCATCTTTGGTATCTTTAATGAGTAATAGCATTGGAAAATAAATTAATTCATATATCTTAAAAAAACTTTATTTCCTATGCTTTTGAGATATTTGCAAAGATCCTTGCCCTGTCATTTGCTTGTAATATTTCTCACATCTTCTTTACATAGTTTCATGAATTTTTGACCTTACATTTAAGACATTGAGACATTTTAGAATGATTTTTTGTAACCAGTAGGCTGTAGGAGTTGCATTGTAATAAACCCAATGTAGGCATCCAATTTGCCCACGCTCACGAACTGAAAATACTATCTTTTCTACAACGTGGGTTTTTAGGATTGTCAAATTTGAATTGGATGTAAATTTGCAGACTTATTCTAGGTATTTTTTGTTCCACTGATTTTTGTGGTTATTTTTGTGTCAATACCATTCTGTTTTGGTTACTGAAATATCAGGTAATAATGTTTCCTGTTTGCTATTTTTGCTCAAGATTACTTTAACTGTTTAAAGTTATAGTGGTTCCAATAAAATTAGAGGAATATTTTTTCAACGTGCTAAAAATATCACTGGTATTTTTCCAGTTGATAGTGGTGCATGCCTTTTATCCAAGCACTTGGGAGGCAGAAGCAGCTGATCTCTGTGAGTTTGAGGCCAGTCTGGTCTATAGAGTAGGTTCTAGGATAGCCAAGGCTACACAGCGAAACTGTGTCTCAAACAAACAAAAACTGTGTCTCAAACAAACAAACAAAAACACCACTGGTATTTCAAAAGGGATTGAATTTTAAAAGGGAGCAAGAATCTATGGATTGCTTTGATTAACGTGAACATTTTAATATTAATTTGTTTCCCAATCTCAATATAATACATCATGCCATATTTGTATCTTTTACTATTTCTTTCATCAATATACCATATTTTCAGTTTTGCTGGTCTTTCGGTGTTTGGTTAAATCTGTTACCAAATGTTTAAGTTTTGTAACTGTTGTAAGTGGTATATGTAATGTTACTGGTTTTTATATATCATTTATATAGGTCACAACTTGACTGAATTAGTTTATTAATCTGAATGTAAGTCAGTCGTAGACTGCTTGCTCAATATGTATGAGGCCCCAAGGTCAATCTCCAACACTGGTAATAAGAACATATGTATTAGTTATACTAGATTTTTCTTAGAAATTTTTACATGTGACTTCATGTTTATCTGCAAATAGAGACAATTTGACTTAAGAAAAGTCTCATTTTAATATCTTATTTGTTTGTTTGTTTATGTTAATTATTCAAACTAGGACTTCCACTAGCATGTTGATTTAAATGGAAGAACTTATTATACACATCCTAGGCTTGTACCAGATTTAAGACAGAAGATTTTAGCTTTCCTACACTCAGTTTATTATTATTTATTTCCTTGTTTTTATTATATTGAAGTGTGCTTCTTTTTTACCTAATTTTTCAGCATTCTTGTGTTTAATTTTGTACTTCCAGAGATGATATGGTTTCATTATTTATTCTGTCAATGTGTTTACCATTCTTATTGATACATTCATGTTAATCTCCCTTTGGAGCTAAGGATGAATTCTGTATGATCACAGAGAACAACGTTTCAAACACTTTTGTTTTTGGTTTGCTAATGTTTTGTTGAAAAATCTCAAATTAGTTAAGAATGCTGGTTCATGGCCTTCTCTTATGTTGTTTTCTGTAGTTGCTTGTTTTGGTTTCAAAGAAAGGCTGGCCATGTAGAATGAGTTTGAAAAATTATTGTTTGGTCAATTTCACAAAACAATTTAAGAAAAATTATTTGTATAATTTTTTTCTATATGTTTGGTAGGAATCATCAGTCAAGCCATCTGTTCTTGAACTTTTCTTTGATGAAACATTTTAGTTAACCATTCATTCTTATTACTCATTTGTTAATTGTTTTTTATTTCTGCATGATTAAATTTTGATAATGTGTATTTTTTATTTTATGGATTATAAAATATTTTGATGTTTTCATCTTCTTTAGGTAAAACAAATTTTTTCTAGTATAAGGGAGACTAAGACAATATAATACATTTTATATAATATACTCATTCAGGTGTTCAGATAAAGTTATTATCAATATAACATCAAGCAATACTAAATGGATTAATATTTTTAAAGCACTAAAATAGAACCTGATATGTGTTATGTTTTGTAGGAAAATTCTCAAATAAACCATTTCACATGATGATGTTAAATTTAAACTTCTAAAATTTATTAAACTAGTTTAGTGATTAAAAGTGTTGACTCTTTTCTTAGGCTTCCTCAGTTAAAATCTAAATTCTATAATTATTGATAAGATTAACACATTTCTCCATGTCTTAATTTCTTCATATCTGTAATAATTGTACCTAACACATAAGGCTGTTTGTTATGAGAATTTAAAGAATTAACATGCCCCCAAACTTCAGAATAATGTCTAATATATAGGAAAATCTCTTTTTTTCACACAGTGTTAATGTATACCAGTGCATGTGATTATGATGTTGCCATTTTCATAGAAATATTAAAAATACTAATTCTACTGTCTGCACTTAAGAGAAATAGCTATGGTTTCCAATTTATATCAAATTAGTCTCAGTATTTAAAATTATTTCACTTTGCTTTTAGCCAATTACCACTGAACCTAAAGCAATGAGTTCTTCAGTGAAACGTAAAGCTGATTGTAGTCTACTTTCCCATCATCTATCAATGGTAAGTAAGGTAAATTCAATGTAAGTATTGAGAAATTCACTATTGGTAAGGGATAAACTTAATGGCTTAAAAATATTCCACTTGTTACTAGAATTTAGATACCTATATAAATTATGTCCTCTCATAATCTTATTTGTATGTAAATGAAACCATGCTGCCAAATATGTATCTAAGTTGATTTTAGTAGCTTTAACACCTCAGCCTAACATACATGTCTATGGAAAGTTTAGCAATCTTTCAACCTCACATGACTCCCTGTCTTGGAACCTGCTAGGTATACTATAATTACTCCCATGTTCACCAGTACTCCATATGTTCTGACTCTTCGGGCCTTTTAATAAGGTTCTATTGTACTTAGGTTTGTTCTCCTTCTCAGTTTGCTTTGTTAATTATTTTTAATTCTCCAACATTCATGAAGCTCAATAATTGCTTCTTTTGTGAAATGTTGACCAAAATTTAATTTGGTTATGCCTTATTGTCTTATTATACTAGTAAATAATCCTGATAATGAGCTCATCACACTGTATTCCACTTAGTCTGTGGCATTTTCCCTATTAGTTTCTCTAATCACAGCATTTAATAATGATATTACAAATGTAAAGTATCAGTGCTTGCTTAATGAGTGAAAAGATGGATGGCTGGGTGGATGGATGGATAGACAGATAGACAGGTGAGGGAATAGGTGCTTCATTAACTCATCAAATGTTCCTCCTTTTGGGCACCAAAATAAATAGACAGTGCATTAAGAAATAAAAAAGACTTCCTCTTGAATTAATTTGACCAAGAATGAACCAAACTTGAACTCTGAACTTCTGCAGGAGAAGTTTTGGTCTGTGTTTATTGGACAGCACAGAAAATATTGCATCAGAAAATAATTAAGATACTTTATAGAAAATTTTCACATAATTTTACATGGGAAAGTAATTCTACTGACATAACTAACACAGATAATAAACTGTAAGCATATATTATCTTGATATATCCACAGGTTCCTTTCAATCTTTGTGGCAGATATTTGTTATATAAGGTTGCTTCCAACCTGCTGATTGCTTTCAGGAACTGATTAAACCAACACTTGCATATCCACATACATATCCACTGTAGGTCAGAGGCATGAACAAGTACATAACAAAAGATTAAAACTATGCATTAACGTAGTTTACAAAGGTTGCTTTCATAGAAAATCCAAAGCAAATGAGGATGTTTGTTGCATTGTTTTCTTAAAGGCAGGTTAAACTTATACAGACTGAATATGCAGTAGGACAGCAGTTTTATTACAGTCTTAAAAATTACCTCAAGGCTTATTATTAGCTTTGCTGTGAGGTATGCCAGAAGTTCAGTCTTTGGTGATCAACAGAAATTTTCATTAGGTAGATATGTAGAAGTCTAGGTAGATTGGTAGGTGGGTGGATGATATACTGGACTAAGGGAAGGGCAAAAACCTAGGAACATGTTTGAATAAATCAAATACCTTATTTGGCCCATCAGATTCAGAATACAAGAGACAAAATGTCCCATGGTAAGCACAGTGAATTATGTTTATTCAGTCATCTTCATTTTTTCTACCTAGCAAAAGGATACCTCAGACTCTTTTTCCTAGAAAGATAGAATCAGTCTTCCAATGTTCAAACACACAAAGAACACATTTAAAGTACTTCAAGACAACTCTGATAAGAATGTACACTCATTAATTAGATTATTCAAATCTCCAGTCTTACATATAAAAAGTAAATTTCCTACACTGAAGTGCATATCTATCACCTAAATATTTTCATATAATAAGTTTGGAAGCATTTTCCAAAGAATATATAAGTAACGGAGAATTGTTTAGATATTTTAGTAGAAAGAACTTCAGAGTTACTTATTTGCATTTCTATATCAACTAACATTAAACTGTAACATTAAGAAATAAAAATCATTCTAATCAGATTTCAATGAAGATTTCATAAAAGCACATAGTACCAATTTTGTCATCATATAATTTATATAAGATAACAAAACATGGTTGGTTATAGTTCCATAGAAATTCCATAGTGTCAAAATTAAAAACTGTTTAAAAGGCATAAGTAAATGCTAAGCTTATCTTTCTAATTAGGGATTTGTCCTGCCAGATAGCCAGCTTTAAAGGAAAATGGATATTAAACAGTCCTAATTTGGTTTATTTTTAAAATTTGAGTGGTTTGGGTTAATATCTATTTCAAAAGTATTAAAACCATTTTCTGGTACTAGCAAGCTATATTTCTGAAAAGAAGATGTAAATGGCAAAATATTAAATACCTCCTCTTATTTTTATTTTGTTTATTTGTTTGTTAGGAGAGGCATACCACAGTGTGTGAGTGAAGATCAAAGGACCACTTGTAGAAGTTAGTTCTCTCCTTCCACTGTGTAGATCCTGGGGTTTAAACTCAGGTCATCAGGCTTAGCAATAAGCTCCTTGACCTTTTGAACCATCCCACTAGCCTGAATTCTCAGAAGCAGTTTTTACAGTCTCTGTATTGGAAAATATTGACCTTTTAACATTTTACTCCTACATTTTGTGTCTCTTTCTAACAAAAACAATTTTTGTTTATATTATACTGGTATTTGTCTCTGTTGTACTAATTGAAAATAATGCTGCTACATGGTTTTGCCTTTTAAGATATATGCCCATTTAATTACATGGAAAATGGCAAGTAACTACATAATACTAGTTATGAGAAATAGCTTGCAAATTTGTCAGAAAATGTCTTTCAAATTCAGCCAGTATATTCTTGTGTGCCTTCTATTTAGAGACTCGACCACATATTTCTTCAGTTTATGCTTTGATAGCATGCCTCTATATACTGACCATATCCTTTTGCTCTTAAGGGATATTTACCTATTCATGGATCTTCACCTCTTCTTTTTGAGGCTTTCAAAAAGTACATTACTAATTGAAGATGAATTACAGTTTTCTAAAACCCAACGTTTTTGTTGTTTGTGGTGGTGGTGGATTCAGATGTGAACATCATATAAACATGAATATTAATTGCAAATATTTTGGTTGTCAGTTTCTTCTTCTTACTGTTATTTAATTCAAAAATTCCATCTCATATCCAACAGTTTTTTCATGCTATAAAACTCGTTTTTACAGAAACCTCATGTTTTTTCATACAATATAGTTTGATCATATTCTTTTTCCTCCCCCAAGTTTCCCTAGATTCTCCCCACCTCTCTATCCACCAAATGACATTTTCTTTGTCTTTGTCAAAAGAAAAAGATCAGAACAAACAAACAAAATGGCAAAAGTACCAAACAAATACCCACACACAAAAAAAAAACCATGAGTACATTTTGTGCTTTTGAACTACTGATCATGAGACTGCCATACCCAGTATCATTTGGAAAAAACGTATTTCTTTTGTTGGCTCTAACAGTCTTTGTGAGTTTATATGTGTGTCAGTCCTGTTTTACTGTTTCATTGTAGTCATCCACCACCACCGACTCTTAAAATCTTTCTACTTTCACTTCTGCATAGATACCTGAACTTTAAGAAGAGGGGGTTGACAAAGACTTTTAGGTCCGAGGGTTTCAAAGTCTCTCACTTCTTGCACATTATCCAGGTGTGGGTCTCTGTGTTAGTTCCAAACTCTTACTAGAAGCAGCTTCTTCTGATGATGAATGTGTCATTAGCTGTAGTTTGACAGCTATGTTCATTTAACAGACTAATAGCAGTAGGTGTTCCCTTAAGGCCCATGACCTATAGACTCTTATGTTCTTGGCCACATTAACAGTGTTAGGTATGGGTTTCATCTCATAGTATGACCATTAAATCCAATGAAAAATGTTGCCTATTCCTAATAATATTTGTGACTCTGTATCTTGTACACAGGTTCTTTTGTATGTCTCAGTGTTAGTATCTGGGTGGTAGTGATGATTACTTTTCTCTTCCAGTAGTGTGCATAGTATCTTTCAGCACTATGAATGCTAGTCGATAGGGATGCAGCTTCTCATTGGGCTTCAGATTGATTCCTACATGTTTGGTGCCATATATAATTGATGCCTTTAGCAATAAGGTTTCATATTCAGGCTGTAGAGGATAATAAATAATATTGACAATAACCTGTCATATTTGAGGGGTCTATGGGATCTATTTTTCTAATGACCAAACAAGATATAACCCCTATCTAGTAGTGGGTGTTTTAGTTGGTTGATTAAAATATCCAGTAGGTGCATAGTTTCCTTCAATAATGGAGACTCTACTTAAATTCCATATATATTATATGCTAGAAAACTTCTACTATAGTAGATTTCCATGGTATTAGTTATTCTGCCACAAATTCCCTCTTTTACCCTGCTCTCCCATAAACTTAATCATTTACCCCTCCTATTATCATTTCCTTTTAATTCCTTTATAACACTATTTTCTAACTCTTCTTCCTTGGGAGCTCATTTCTTCTTGCCTGATCTCTTACTACCTAACCATTGCTGTTATTATCAATGAAGCACACACATATAAAACCTAAAAGCTAATAACTTCCAAACAAATCAACTATTCTGTATATTGCGAAAGAAGCCCATTTATTCTGCAAATGTTTCTTTGTTATTCAGTATGTCCCTTATTCAAAAATATTTATGATGATCCTTTATCTGAAATGTAATTATAAATGCTTACACTCATAAGTGAAAATATCCCCTAAAATTGAAACACTTTATATTCCTAATATCTCTAATTTTTTGGTTTAATATGTTTATTATTTATTTATTGCCCAAGCAATTTATAATTGGTTACGTTCTTTAAATTCACTTTATTTATTGCTATTTGTCTTTGCCTTTGTCAACAAGAATGTCAATATTTTTATTATGATTTGAATTCTTTTGTGTCTTCAAACCTGATTTATATCTTCATCATTTGGTTTCTTCAATCCATACCTACTTGCTATAATTATTGTGCCATAAAATTTTGTTCTCATGGTAAAATTGTATTGTTTTTCTTTTATGTCAAGATAGTTGGCTATCAGAATACAGCTTTCTTCCAAGAA